TTTCAAAATATTTTTCTTTCATTGCTGGGATTTCGTCAAATTTAATCAAAAAATACGTTACAGTTAATGTATCGATCTTGACGATAATTATCCCTCGTGAATTTCCTAATAATTCGCAAGTTAACCTGAAAAACGTAATGCGTCCGCAAGCACAACTATTCAGGCCACTTGATAATCGTCAACTAATCGAATAAACTCGAATTTTATCTAGAATTGTCAGCACAATTACAAAGATATTCCGCATAATCCAGGACCAATAACCGCCATGGAAATGAAACAATAGTAAAAATTCTTCCATACATTACGGGTTTTTTCCCTTGCTGAACTACTTTGCCTGAATTTTTCAAGGTCTGCACCCAGGGAAAGTGAACTTCCATATAAACACGCGTTGGCTTGCGTTTATTCAGTGACACTGAGATAATGAGGCCACGCGAATACGAATCACTACAATGTTTTGTTTATCTGCAGTTTCAAACGTCACGTTTCGATTTTGTTCAATGTCTCACGAATGCAGACGGAAAAAATAGTGAATTTAAACATATATACAGTGGGCCCCCATCTTACGTCATCAATCCGTTCCAGGATGGACGTCGTAACATGGGGTCGTCGTAAGTTGAAACCCTATTTCCCTTAAGGTTACATTATAAAAAATTTAATTCGTTCCAGAAAAAAAATATTTAACTAAAATTACCTTCACATTTCAACTTTTTGTCAGAAATTGTATTAATAGACACAAGACATGTTTAAAAGACTGTATAAAACAAAAGTGATAGGGGGTATTAGGGTAGTGAAATAGGGTAGGAGGAGAATGATTTTCACAATTTTGAGCACTTCTCATAACTTTTTCATCCTTCATTTTTTAAAGCTTGATTTTGAGTCTGCATTGGCTTATAATTTTTAAATGGAGTGTTTTTTAAAGACGCGTGAAGAAAGAAATTGTGCACAAAATTCACATCATACATGCATTTTCAGTTTTGAAATTATTTTTTAAAGCTTGATTTTGAGTCTGCATTGGCTTATAATTTTTAAATGGAGTGTTTTTTAAAGACACATGAAGAAAGAAATTGTGCACAAAATTCACATCATACATGCATTTTCAGTTTTGAAATTCTGGTGAGTTATTCATCCTTCATTTTTTAAGGCTTGATTTTGAGTCTGAGTAGGTTTTAAAATTTATAGACGCATTTTGAGTGTTGACATTGTGTGAGGTCATCCTTCATATTTTAAAGCTTGCTTTTGAGTCTGCTTAAGTTCTACAATTTTTGAATGGAGTGTATTTTTAAATACGCCCAAAGAAATAAATTTTCACTCACAATCCGCACTACCAAATGCCTAGTATTGTTGATGACTGAATGGGAGGAATAGGAAAAAATGATGTTGCAGGAATAATTCCATTGCTACTGGCTTTTTCAGTCGTTGGAAACGAGAGGAAGACTGGAGTTGGGAAAATTGAAGGGCTTTTATAGTCGTATCATGAAACCCCGACGTAAGTCGGGGGTTTTTTAATTAAAAAAAATTGTCGTATGATGAAACCGACGTAACATGGGCCCGTCGTAAGTCGGGGGCCCACTGTAAATGACGGTTTAGGAACTACTGTACAGCTATTGTACAATAGTTCGGTACGTGAGAACGTTGACTATGGCTGCTTCATGTATGATCCTGAATCGCAAAACACGATACCAATGACTCTACTTTACACCGCTCGAGTATGACCCCTGAAAGCTAACACGAAAACTTATTTTTAGAGAAGATCCACGCTGTAAACGAAAAAGAGAGGAGTACAGTATATGCATAATCAAATCAGTGTACTAGCTGATGTTGATACTCTTTTATATAGATAGTATACTATCTATTTAAAAGAATATCAACATTGTGCAGCTAGTTCGAAATATCATACAGACCGTACATATATACTGTACAGCGTTGAACATATAAAATGCTCTCTGGAAATTTTGTTGTTGTGTAAATTGAATCTTGATGCTCCCGGAGTGAGGGTTGAATTCCTATCGATTTCTTGATGATAATCATCAATAATTACTTTCAAGCTGTGAGAATAATGCATTACAGTAACTCGAAAATGCTCTCGCAAAACAAATTTTGGAATCATCCCTTTTTATTTCTAATTGTATGGTATGCACAGTAACCCACATGATACTGTATAGAGAAAACAAATCGCCTCGCGAAAATAAAGCAAAAACCCAACTGAAATTTCAATTAGGAAAGGTTTGCTGCGTTCGTATGTGCTGTTTATATTTGGGTTTTTAGCGAGTACGACATGTCTGCATGTATGAAACTGTTCCATTATAAGATTTGAGCAATCTTCAAAATGTTATTGCCTAAAATGTCATTTTGTACATATAGGCAAATGATGCTTTATTTAAAATACAGTTGAACATCTCTAAAAGTTGAATTTATAGGGACCACAAAAAAATTCAATTTAGGCAGGTTGCAATTTTCGGAGGTTTTCATGTGCAAAGAAAAGCAAAAAAATTGGAAAATTTTAAATATGTAATATACATTCAACCCTGGTTAGACTGCCCCCCCCCCCTCAATAAACTGCCATCATTGGTTGCTGCCAAAATTTCATCCTCAACAAATCTGCCTAAGCTTGAAGGGATGGCAAAACCCCTTTAAACTGCCAACCACCATCCAACAACATTTTTATCTACCCAAACTGGATTGCCCTATTGTTTTTCTCCCTTTATAAACCTCCAGTTTCTTCCTCCTTCCCAGACTTTCCTTTCACCAATATTTTTCTCTTCCCAACCATCCCTTTCTCACCTTTGATTTTTTGAAATACCAACATTTTCCTCCTTCCCAGCCTCCTCTTCAGTTCATTATGTTAATACATTTCTGGGGTACTGTATTATTATCAGCCTTTTGAAATTTTGGGCAACTTTTCTGTGGAAATATACACCAAACAAGTATCCCTTGTGAGGAAATCTCCACTCCAAGCAAAAATGTATTCCTTGCTTCTTTTGGGCATAAATCCCCTACACTATGCTTCTTTAAATAGAAAAATTACCAGGATAGATTTCTTCTGTGTTTCCAAAAATTTTAATGAAATTTTATAGGTTGTTTTAATCTAACTTGGATAAAATGAATTGACTGCAATTTTCAGAAAACTTGACAAAAGAATTGCTTCAGGTATTTTCAGAATTTATTCAGGTATGTTTAAAATTGAACAATGAATTAAATAAAATATTGATGGGGAATAAGAGAACATGAGTCAAAAACTTGCAGGAACTTTCTGTTGTAAAATTGGAGCACATACTCTATTCCAAGATTGCAAAGTAAGAAAAACCAGATTATGTGATATTAAAGAATAAATCACACATTGATCAAGTTGGTGAATTATTACATTTTGAAGTCGTATCTAAATACAAATGTTATTGTGGTTTAAATTTAATTGCTTCCCCTTTAATGAATTTTGCCATTGCAACATATAGTAGATCAATTCCGTGCTCCAGTTCCCACCAAAAACTATTCCTGCTAGCTTCTGTCCCATGCTATTTGCACCTCAATATCTTGACCTTTCTCATCTTTCTTTTTTTGGGATATCTAAAATACATATCCAAGTATTTTTGCCTAGAATGATATTGTGGAACATTTTGCAAAATACAGTATTGACAAACTTTTCAACCTAAATAGACCAAAGATATTCTATATATGAAGCTTTTCTAAATGAGCCTGACCAACCCAAAATTAACCCAGCCAAATGAAGGTTAAAACATTTTCTCTAGAAGCATGATTATAAATTGAATTGGTTTACTGTTTACTCAATTTTGAGATATTTTGTAATGAAGAAAAAATTTCCCCAAAAAGCAGAGAATGAAAAATACTTCAGCTAGATTGAAGCAGAGGTGGCAGGGGTAGAACTTTTTTTTAAAATTTGGTTCATCCTTCCCTCTACAAACTGCCAGCCTTGTTAAACCACTAAAATTCTGCTGCACAAATGTTGGCAATTTAATGGGTTTGACTGTAAATGTATTTTTGTATATATGCATATATGTATACATGTATGCATGTGTATTTGGCACCTTCACAGCCACCAAGGTGGTGGTCAATGTGGCAGCTGTGAAAGCAGCTGCTGATGAAAATGGCAGAATTACCTTGGCAACCCTTGGAATGAATGCCAGCTTGATTTGAAGAATTCTGAGGTGAAAGCTGGGCTACAGCAGAAAAAAAAAAAAAACTGCAGGAAGGGTGCCTCATCATGAGTGGAGAGCAAAACTCTACCAGGATGAATTTTGCAAAACATTCAAAAATGTCAAACAGGACTGATTTTTGTGTGCCAAAGAATATGTTTTCCTTAAAGAATATGTTTTTTCAGCTCAATTATGTTACATTTTGATTCCTATTCTGAGAACTTTTGTTAGAATAACCCTGGTACAGTATATGTATACATATGTATTGATGTACATGTAATATTCTTGGCCTAGACTTATTGCTTGGATAGTGAGTTTTCACCTTGCAGAACTTGGACAAAGCAGGGCGGATCATTTGTTCAATCAGGTTTTCACTTAATTTCAGAATGCATAAAATTTTTGTTTTATTGATTTTCTCTGTCGTATTCCAAGGAAATAATGGCCAAAAGGCCTCAGAAAATTTAACTTAAGCGGTTTGAGAGAAAAAGACGGTTTTTTATTCAATGTATTCTTTGTTTGTTTCTAAGGGAATCCAGACATGGACTTGAAAAAAATTTGAGTTAGGGAGGTATTTGACTTAAGAGGGTTTGACTTATCAATAGGTTAAACTGTAATGGGGTATTTCTCTATTTATGCTGTGAAGAAAATATTCTGCATCATACAAATCTCAAAAGCAAAATACTGTAGGCATCCAAAAACAGATCAGATTATAAAGCATACAAGCTGAGGGTGCCCAGCCACACCTGGGCATTGGACAGATTTTAGATATTAAAATTTTTATCAAATCACACATGGAGAGAGCATGCCCAGTTCTGTGGCCCAGTCACATCTCTGTGCATTAAGTTTAAAAAAATGAATGGTACTAAAGCTGGTTACTTGTTTAAGGACCACGGGTAATTTTGTAATTGTGCTCAATGCGCCAGTTGTGGCCCGGTGGGCCACAACTGGCACATGAGCAGGGGGATTTTATTTATGCAAGAATGTTACAAATTTGGAGATTGGTAGAAAATTTGAATTTTGGAAAAAT